GGGGGTAAGTGCGGGATCATACAAGATTCATAGCGTTGGACATCACTAACTATGGAAAACCACAACTCAACACCTGAGAAACCCTTGCAAAGCCCAGTGTATGCTCGTGTCCTGGGAGTATTAAGTAAGATGATTAAAGATCCCAGGTATCGCCCTGGCATACGCCATGCAATCGACTCCACTCCGAAGTTTCAATGGCATCCTAAGTTCAAACATGAACCATAAGCAATGACTTCTAAAAAGTACCGAAAGTCTCGTGCAAGGGCGTACTTCTGACTAGGAGATTGTGATTTCGAGAATGTGATATGAAAGTAGTGAAACTAGTAGAGGGCTTGGACTCACCTCCAATACAAGGGTTCTAAATGAAGGAAGTTCATTGATGTCGGAGGTGTAGTGCCCTATTCTTGATACTCACTTAGTCAGAGCAGGAAATTGGATCCGATACTACACCTTTTCATCCTCCTGACGTTTTACTAACTCCCTTACCTACTCGGATAACAGCAAAAACGTAGACATTCTTCTTTCGAGCGCCGTGCTCCCTTTGATACATCAGAGCGTCATCTGAAACAAGCCAAAATAGAGAAGGAATCTTACAATTTTTGGTGAAATGGAAAACGCTTGAATTGGCGTACCTATGTGCCTAGCTAGAATTTCGATGGTCTTATTCCGGACCAGTGGATCGACATTCTGTTCTTGGCACGCCAATTGGAGCACCAAACCGGCGTTAAGCCCTGAAATGGACAAAACGAACGTCTCGGGAAAAGGGCAAAATGTCAGATGCTAATCCAGAAATGCATGAAGAAAACTATGAATTCTGACGAACGAACCGCTTTGACTGGAGAGCATTCGCCAGACCGATGAGGGAATGTGGAACATCAAAGCGGCGACAGCCAGTACAAATGGAACCCATTGATAGTAGCCGATTTGTCGCCGTTCACGATCATCCAAACGATGAGGTATCAGGTCCTAAGCATCTCTTTGGTGAAATCGATATAAAGTTATCGATCTTAGAGTTAAAGTACTATAAATGCTCGTAGTTTCGAGAAAATATGGGACCATGGCGATGATTTATTCTTTCCATAGCCGTTCGAATTCATTAGCAAAGCGCTTTCTCATTGACGCCACCCTCTTTCTAAATCTCTGTGAAATTCATAACTTTACCCCTCTTGCCTTTCCCGATTTCTCGGAGAACGGGGCGAGTACAAGGCTTTTTCATATATTTCGGTGTGAATTTCACACCTTTCTCATTACTTGGACCTTAACTCCTTTTCGAACTACAAGTCGCATGATGGCAAAATCGTCCTCCTTGGGAAAGAATGCCCAGATTACTCTGGGATCAGCAGCGCTGTTTTTCTTACAAGAAAAGATCGAGCAACCGAACAATTGAGACCAAACTCTTGTTCCTGCTAATTATTTAGAGAAGGCAGAATTCCAAGTCAATCAAGGAATCGAAGTTGTGCTTCTTGAATTAACACAGATGGTCTAATGTAAACTAGAACATTCAAGAATGACCAGAAGGATGTCAACAGGCTATCTATCGAATCGTCCCCGACTTTCACCACGGTAACTGATCCGGCTTCTGTAAACATAGTAGAGCATAAGAAAGTCCAGGAAGTATGGATTGACTATTGAGTTGGAAACTGAAAACATATTCACCGAAGTACTCCCACATAGGATAAAATATTGCTATGGGAGAGAATAGAACACGCTAAATCCATACATTTTTTAAACAGACAATTTCTAAAGGAATCAAAAGGGCAGCACTAATGAGTTTCTGCGGGTAAACTCAGTAGGAAAGCAATTTGCTCCAGCTCCAAGATGAGAAAAAAGATTTATTATAGGACTCCTAACTTCCGAAATAAGATATATTATAGTGGATGTAAAATATGGAAACGACATGTTCCCTAGGAAACGAGAAAACTGCTCTTCACATTCCGAAAGTTGTTGAAAAGACAGAGCCAGAGAAAGGGGCACTGAGAAATGATTCGCTACCACACATAAGGTGAGGGATCGTATCCTGGACCATTTGCCGCCTAGAACAACCTTACATCCTCATGAGTTGGCTACTTGTTTGTGTATGGATGTCTGACACGCAACGTCCTATCCCAACATGGAGATGATCAGGGCGGAAAGGCTTCAGTTTCTATCCCATTGTATGGATGTGATTTAACTGGTGTGGCGGCAAGTGACTCGCTTCCACACACGAACTGCTCAGGGTTCGAACTTCGAATCAATACTATTATAGATCTGCCCTGAGCCTTCTATCCCTCCGGGGTCAGTCAATCATTACCAAGCTCATTTGGGAGGACAAAAGAATCGACTTGTTCAACGGCTGACCAGCACAATTCATTGTATAGGCCACATACGCACCCAACGGGAGCTCAGTGGAATTGAAAGAGGGGCCCATCCCAAAATGATTGATCAACGGCAAAGACTTGAAACTTTTATACTTTTTTTTTCGAACGGTCGAAAAGTGTAAGGGCCTGAGCCAATCTCAGGCCACTTGACGCTACATATCCTCGAGGTCTCATAAAAGAATTCTCGTCTACGCTGTACTAGAAATAGTCTGATTGTGAGTGGACCGGTGAAGGGCAAGTGTTAGGGAAAAGAAAACCTGGACGAAGGGTTTGTGGGATTTCTCGCTCTACGTGCTCTTTTAGCAATTCAGCTGGGCAATTTCAATGTTCGACGGCAATTTCGTCTCCCTAATTTATTCAGCTAATGGGATTTTCCCAAGTGTAGCAACAAGGGCACAAGTCAGGTTCGCACTTCCCAGAAACCGTGTTCCAAAGGTCACTGTCACCTGTTCGCGTTTTTCATAGTTGCATGGCTCAGCTTGATAAACTGAGCTCCAACTTTCTCATCATCGATTAGCCCAGGAAAAGAACAATTCATTAGAAATTTTCTCATCCCAATGGATGATGCCTGGCAAAGCCATTAGTAGGAGGAAGGAAAACGATTACTCAAAAAACGTCTCTCAGTATTTTTCTAGCAAAACACTGCACCCTGAGGTGAAGATGTCTTTGGTAGACCTTACCTGGAAGGGAATCCAATAGGTGTTTTGAACCCAACAGTAGTTCTCAGTGTACTGCTCCATTGCCCTGGTAAATTGTGCCGGCACAAAACACTCGATAGGATGTCCCACTGAAATGCGAAGCGGACTCAAAAGCAATTTTAAAAGGCGATACTCAAAATAAGGCAACAGAAAAATGAAAAAAATCCTTTGGTTGATGACTTGTCCCTTTCGAAAATGATTACTCTCTATCTACAGAAGGCTGAACTTGGATTTTTGAAATCGGCTTTCAGATCAACCGATTCCAAGGCTTCGATAAAGTTACGAATATGCATCTTTTAAAAAACAGCATCGTAAGGCCTAATGGTTGCCCATGAGATCAATCCTGGCCAACAACACATAATGCGGAAGAGCTCATCCTGGGAAAGGTTGGGTAGGATTATCCCATTTGCAGCAAATGCGATGAATCAACCCAACCTTTAAAAAACTAGGCTCTTTTTCTATAAACACATCCAACGAAGAATTGCCTACTGGAGCGCTACTAGGACGAGCAATGGGCCATTTCAGAAAACGTTTTGGGCTTTTAAGCTGAAATGGCCCAGAGTACACAGAATCGTGTCGTATCGACAAAGGACTTTCGACCTTGAGATGCACGATTGATCGAACTTCAAGTTGAGATGGTCAGGAGTCTGAATTACTAGTGAAAGACAGATCGAAAACCATGGCCCAGGTTTACTGAATAGTCACAGCACTGGACGAGTTTCCCTAAGCTTAGACTTGGCTTCTTAAAAAAGTTGCCAGCTACCTGACACTACCTGCTTGCTCGGACCACAACAAATAAATATTGTGATTGTTGGCTCTTTTGCTCCTAATGTTAAAGATAAGACCGTTGTTTGATGCTCATTTCCTGTATTTGCCCTGAAATCCCCCAGAGCTCAAATTACACCAGTTGCAGCTGTGAAACGAGAGGAATATGTGGTAGCGATGAAAAAAGTTCTACGACAGATGGTCGGTTATGGCGTACTCGTGAAAAACCGACTCCAGAATTCTTCCAAATTGGCACTAGAGCAAGAACGTTATTCGTCATATGAAGTTACACCACTCTACACATCACCCTTTCCCATTTTCCATATGAACGATTCCCATATTTCCAGATCGAAAATTCAAAATCCAAGCCTCGAATTTCATGGTTTTAGCGCTAGCCTGTATTAACTATTGCGCTGCTTCACTGCCTCCCTGAAACTTTTGCGACTACCCACTGGAATTCCCCACCTCTAGAAATCCTTTGTAACATCCAGGCCAGTCACTGCTGCAAAGACGACTTTCTGCTCCTCCATCCGGGATTGTAGAAATCATATAGGACGATGATGAAGTGTCGTCACGTAGTTTGGAGACAGCTGAAGGCAATTGTCCGCTCGAGGAGCAGGAGGATCCATTTCATGCGGTTAGGGTTTTCATTTCGCAGCGCTCTCTAGCACCTCCTCAGTTCCCTGGCTTCTGACAAGGTCGGCGCGGTTGTTCTTACACAAAAACGAGGAAAACTCCTCAACAAACGTAATCCGTGGGATGTGTTTCTTTTCCCCGAAGGCATCGATCTCAGTTTCAGTCTTGCTGGTTTTGAATGGACATCACCTCCAACGTTGCGCCAAGTGGGTGCCTGTGAAGGGAACGGCCGAAGGCAAAGACGACCACGCTTCATGACAAACTGCTATTAATTCTCAATCGAGCTCAGAGGGCTGACGAATAGGCTATTTGTAGCGAAGTATGTCTTTGAGGACGAGTGCACTTTGAGCTAGCCTATACTGAGCCACATTGAGGGGTTTCGCTTGCCAGGTATTACGTCGGCACGGGAACACATTGAGCTAGCCAGCCATCCTCGTTGCCACTTGGCTCTTGACCCGAAAACGGTGTTCCGCAGCCTGAACGGTCCAACCACGCATAAGAAATGAAGAGAGATAAGCTTAAACGGGTCTGATCACACGGATAACGGCTAACTAGGGAATGATACATCATGATAGATGGATATTGTAAAAGAAAGTAGATATCAGTGATTGAATTAGCCTAAGGCTTACTTTTGCAACGAGATCAAAGAAATACAAACATAAAAAGGGTAAATAAGCTCAAAAAGAAGTGAACGGTGTTTACCGTATTGCTTGGCAGATACTAAAACAGCGAACATCAGTATCAAAGTGGAAGTGTAGAGGTAGTGCAGTCGATCCACAAAGTCGTCGTCTAATCTGAATACGAACAGAACCATTTCATGAACGGGTGCAAGAGTAGGGCGGTTCTCGTGTGACCACCAAAGAAGCCAGGGTCACCAAGGGTAGACCTCATTCCCAGATCTATAGGCTAGACCATGCAAAGTAGAGAGGACTTGTGCGCTGTGGTGGGGATGAAAAGAGGATAAGTTGATTTGAAGGGTTGAAGGCTATTAGATTACGCGTCAAATATTGAGGTCATGAGATTTCTTTTTGCACACATGAAACCTCTCCTGAAGTCTGACCTCGGTATCCGGGGATTTTGGGTGATTTCAAGCATTTTACCCGATATATTCTCATCCACTGACTCTAAGTTCGGATAAGATAGACCGGGAGCTCCAACTGGTAGGTTCGTGTAGGGAATTTTGTTAAGGCATGGATCAAACTAAACATAACCATCCACGAGAAGCTCAAAAAGAATCAAATTGAGAGAAAACGGGATACCTTGAGAGGTAGACGGAACTCCCGTATGGTATCGGTGGATATTCACCTAGGAGTCCATCCAGGCAATGGAAGAGGCCGTACCGAAACGCCATGGACCGCGTAAGCCAGCTTTCTAAATGGGGGACGCAACTCAACCCGGTCTCCCCTCCATAACCCTTAATCCCTGTACTTTAGGCCCAATCCCCATATAACTGCAACTTCCACTTGCAAACACATAGTTATAGAAAATGAACTGAAACCACCGCAAGCACACACATGTCGATTACCTTGGCTCGAGGAATCGTAGGGCTGTAGCCAGAAAATGCATTCCTATACGGTATCCTCCAACCATAGTTGAGGAGGAAATGTGTGAAGCGAGGGCGTGGCCTTCAGCGAGGGCCGTTGCCGTTTGGGGCGGTCACATGGGCAGAGCGCAGAGGGGCGAGAGTACGCACAACGGAAGAAGAGACGCAGAGCAGTTGCGTTGATGGACAGCCGGCTGGTTGCAAGCGTGGAGCAGCAATCACAAGAGCAGGACAACGAGGAGCAACAACGTAAGGAGGACTTGCAATGGGCTGAAACAGGATCGCAGCTGCGCAGGATCAGAAGGTAACTCGTCCGTTTTTTTTTGGAAGTGTTCCCGTGGCAATTGATCCGCTCGCTGTTTACACTTTGTTTACCTCAAAAAAAAGCACGTGTTTTCGTTCGATAACTTTTTTCTGGCGATATTTGAGCTATCGGGAAGTCGTGTATGTCATGTATAAATTTATGTGGCAATTCTATATCGAGTTTTATGGTAGTAAACCGACAGGCTAAGTGGGGTCAGTGTAAACAGCAGTAACTTAGTTCCAGGCTCGCTTGTACCTCCTTGGTCTCTCCTTTGATGGTGGTTTTGATCGATTGATGATCTACTTATATTAATTTTGATGATATTTGCTAATTGTGTTCACACGGTGCACAACAACCTGTCGGTTTGAAAAAAAAAGAAAAATTTCAGGGGAAAGCTCCGAGCGCCAAGCCATGTGTCAATAAAGGATGCTAGATATTTCAACTACTATACAAGCTACTTTTTCGATTTACTACCCAATTGTTTGAAATCTGGTCAGTTTCCATTTACTGATTCGTTTCATTTCAATGAATATTTTCATCCGCTACACCAAACTTCTACCTCAACATGAGGGTCGGCTTTTTTTTTCTCATACTTTCTGCGGCTTTGCCTGAAATGGGCCAATTCGAAAACCTAGGGGATCGAAGAGCTTTGGTCAGTTTTTTGGAAGGAGCAGGGTTGCTGAAGGCAATTAGGTTGCATGTTGAAAGAAAAATGCTTCCAAGGAGACGATTGCACTGCTGAATGGTGGCCCAGAAAAGCTATCCGGTTACTTTAGCTAGTTAGTTTCATGAAGTAGTTATGATTATGGGAACTTTTTCCCAAATGGGAATTCTCCATGCGCGATAAACGACCGCTACGCTTCGCGGTGTAAATTTATTGGTAGGTTTTTATCACCGCTCTTGTCACCTTTACTTTTCGCTCGTACAGTTTCGAGTGGTTTTCTTCTTTCGTTATCGTTTCGACGGCGATCATTCAACCATTTTTTTCTCCTGTTTAGTCACAGAGCCTTCCGTCTGCAAATATTATTATTGAAGAGCAGATTTGTTGACTAAAATATCTGCCACGGCGGCAACCAACTGTTTATTCGAACTTGTGCTCATTAGAATTTCGATTTCGACACTAAGGAATGGAAAAAGGTAAAGGGCTGTCCAACTGGGCGAGAAATTGAGAGAAATCATCACTGTTTCGTCATCTGGGCGACCCTCCCAGTGTTTGAACGTACCTTTCATGCGCATGACACTTTTATTTACTTACTACCTTTCAGTTCCTGTGGCTTAAGCGAGCTTCCCTAAAAAGCTCTATGCAATATAAATGAGTGGGAGTTCAGCTGTTTTGAGTAATTCATTGAGGTTCCCACCCACATCCTCCCAATCCAGTAGTACTTTATGAGTGTAAAATCCGTTCAGTATGCGTGGGAATGAAATTTCCTCTGTATGGAAGAGTTGGGAAACTGTCGTGGGACTTTTCTCCATAGAAGTCTTTCAATTTGTTACCCGTATTAAAGGCGTACTCCGTGATTGTCCAAGGTCATCCGTCGATGTTTGCTTTCTCTCGTTCGCTTTCTTTCAACACTTGTGATCACACAACGCTCTCCTGTCCAAAGAACAGACTCGCGAAAACCACCAAAAAGGAAATTTAACAGGGCTTATTGGCTCAAAATGGACTCCAGATTGTCCTCCTTCATACCTTCACGTATTTCCTGTTTCATCTCCAATGTAAAACACTTAATCAGCATTTAACAGGCTTTCCCCTCAATCCTTACATTCCAGTGATTATAACAATTATCATTCTTTAGTTCCCTGGTTAGGACTCCTTCTTGCAATTTGGGGCATTTAGAGGACAATGGAGAAGTGTGGGAAGGAGGAGTGATGGCTTAATAGACACGCGTGAAGTGGAAGGGCGCATGTATATTCCCTCAGTATGATTCAAACCCTGGGCCTGTCCCTGCTCCATGATCAATCAGCT